CCAAAGAGCTGTCAAAGGACACCAGAAACAAAATTGTAGACCTGCACCAGGCTGGGAAGACTGAATCTGCAATAGGTAAGCAGCTTGGTTTGAAGAAATCAACCGTGGGAGCAATTATTAGGAAATGGAAGACATACAAGACCACTGATAATCTCCCTCGATCTGGGGCTCCACGCAAGATCTCACCCCGTGGGGTCAAAATGATCACAAGAACGGTGAGCAAAAATCCCAGAACCACACGGGGGGACCTAGTGAATGACCTGCAGAGAGCTGGGACCAAAGTAACAAAGCCTACCATCAGTAACACACTACGCCGCCAGGGACTCAAATCCTGCAGTGCCAGACGTGTCCCCCTGCTTAAGCCAGTACATGTACAGGCCCGTCTGAAGTTTGCTAGAGTGCATTTGGATGATCCAGAAGAGGATTGGGAGAATGTCATATGGTCAGATGAAACCAAAATATAACTTTTTGGTAAAAACTCAACTTGTCGTGTTTGGAGGACAAAGAATGCTGAGTTGCATCCAAAGAACACCATACCTACTGTGAAGCATGGGGGTGGAAACATCATGCTTTGGGGCTGTTTTTCTGCAAAGGGACCAGGACGACTGATCCGTGTAAAGGAAAGAATGAATGGGGCCATGTATCATGAGATTTTGAGTGAAAACCTCCTTCCATCAGCAAGGGCATTGAAGATGAAACGTGGCTGGGTCTTTCAGCATGACAATGATCCCAAACACACCGCCCGGGCAACGAAGGAGTGGCTTCGTAAGAAGCATTTCAAGGTCCTTGAGTGGCCTAGCCAGTCTCCAGATCTCAACCCCATAGAAAATCTTTGGAGGGAGTTGAAAGTCCGTGTTGCCCAGCGACAGCCCCAAAACATCACTGCTCTAGAGGAGATCTGCATGGAGGAATGGGCCAAAATACCAGCAACAGTGTGTGAAAACCTTTTGAAGACTTACAGAAAACGTTTGACCTGTGTCATTGCCTACAAAGGGTATATAACAAAGTATTGAGAAACTTTTGTTATTGACCAAATACTTATTTTCCACCATAATTTGCAAATAAATTCATAAAAAATCCTACAATGTGATTTTCTGGAAAAAAAATTCTCAATTTGTCTGTCATAGTTGACGTGTACCTATGATGAAAATTACAGGCCTCTCTCATCTTTTTAAGTGGGAGAACTTGCACAATTGGTGGCTGACTAAATACTTTTTTCCCCCACTGTAGATTAGATTCTGGCGCCTACTAGCATTCTTGTTTCCACCTCCTGTAGTGATTCTGTCAAGGCACAGCCTTATCACTGTAGCCTAGCAGTTAATAGCGTTGGGCCAGTAACTGAAAGATTGCTGGTTCGAATCCCTGAGGCGACTAGGTGAAAAATCTATTTGTTCCCTTGAGCAAGGCAATTAACTCTAATTGCTCCTGTAAATCGCTCTGGATAAGAGTGTCTGCTAAATGACAGAAATGTAAATGCGTATCGCCAATGGTACACCATCCAGAAATAGACACTATGCTGTTACATAATATAAAGCAAAGATATCGAACTAAACTTCAGACAAACTCCATGTAGTAGCAGAATGTACATTTGATATCACTCTCATTACAAGGGGACATACGTGTGACAGTTTGACACCTCACAGTTGATAACTTAGTTGTAATAACAGCTGTTATACAGTTAAACAGGTATACACCTCCACTGTGAAGTGTGTCTGTCAGAATTAGTATAAACTGGCCAGTCAACCAAACATCCCCCCTTGATAAAGCGTCAAGCTTGTATTGAAGGAGGGAATTGAAAAGTCCTAGACTCAAGTCAATGCAGACTAGCTGGAAACAGGAAACGTAGCTTTCACAACCCTGACCTCATGACTCTGTAACATTTGCTAAACTGTATATGCGACCAATAAACTTTGATTCGATTTTTGATTCCTCGTGAGGAGCTAGTAGAATCAGGTGTACTTGTTAAGGGTTTGAGTGAAGCAGGGTTGTTCTCCAGGGTTAGGGTTGCTCACCCCTGGTGATCATTTTCTCTCTCCGTTACAGTTGTTTTATGTATTACCTTTAGTCATCCAGTTAACATCAGAGCCCTGGAGATGTCAGTCAGTCTTTCTGTGGTGGAATGGGGAATGTGTCTGGCCCTGTTCCAGGTATGAGGCATGAGGTATTAGCCTGCCTGCCTGCCTGCCACGGGCTGTGGTTGTTGACGACCGTGGTGACTCCTGTAGTCAAATATTATTGGGTTTCCGTAAAGGCCTGCCCCAGATTGCCTCTAGCTCTGTGGTGTGTTTGTGTGGGAAACAGTCATTCAGTTGACAAGTGAGTGATTCAGTGGATGGTCAGATTCTGATAGTTTGTTTGAGCCTATCATGCAGTGTTGCTATGGCAATGTGTGACTTAAACTCACAAGTGTTTCTCTGTGTCTCTTTGTTAGGTTGGAGCCAGATCTTCCTCTTCTCATTCCTCTGTCTCACTGGTTGCTCCAAGGCTGTAGGAGGTAAGTAGGCTTAACTTTACCATGGACTTCCAGTCAGTAATCAATCAATCAATCAATCAATCATGTTATGAGGACAGCTATAAGTACTGATTGAATTGAACTATAACCAGAAACATTGTCCTTCACTTTGTCATTACTTAACTCTTACCTCTGTTGGGTGTTGATGGAATTACAGTATTTGATACAGCAACCCTTCACTTATCTGTGTGCATGTTTATTGGTGTTCTGAAAGTTTTAGGAGAGATTTTTAAATAAAGATTAAAGGACCATCTCTGTAAAAACTCTGTCTTTTACACACAGCGTAATAATAGCATAATTTATGAAACCACATTAATTTTGCGTGCGTCATTTCCCCAACATATTTTTTTCTTTAAGAGGGGGCCTCATTAAATAAGATAGTGGTCCGCAAACAGTCCCTGTGCTGCATGTTTGTCTTTACTCTATATACTCTTTGTGTGCAGAGCTTTGTGAGGACAAAGGACGAGAGTTTGAGCGGGTGTTTTCAGTTTCCGGTGATGCTGCCATGTTAACATCCTCCCTGGTGGCCCTCAACATGTTCCCCTATAACATCTCATGGTATGACCCAAGGACTGGGATAGAGCTGACCAGGGAGACAGGAAAGACTCTGCTGTGGGGTAAGACACTGGATTTTGAATATCGAGATGGAGGATGGAGACTATGTGTGTGTGTGCAAAACTGTTCGCTGCTCTGGCACCCCAATGGTGGAACAAGCTCCCTCACGACGCCAGGACAGCGGAGTCACTCACCACCTTCCGGAGACATTTGAAACCCCACCTCTTTAAGGAATACCTGGGATAGGATAAAGTAATCCTTCTACCCCCCCCCCCCCCCTCCCCCAAAAATTGTAACGTGGTTATCCCACTGGCTATAGGGTGAACGCACCAATTGGTGAGTCGCTCTGGATAAGAGCGTCTGCTAAATGACGTAAATGTGCCCTTGAGCAAGGCACTTAACCCTAATTGCTCCTGTAAGTCGCTCTGGATAAGAGCGTCTGCTAAATGACTAAAATGTAAAATGTAAATGTAAATGTTGTGATGTAGGGGATATACTTTTGTCTGGTGTGTGTGTGTGTGTCTATGTGTCTGTGTGTGTGTTTGATATCTAAAACAAACAGGATCAAAAGCAACATCAAAAGAAACCCTCATATCACGTGTGACCTTTGTGGCAGCAACAATCATCAATAACATCAATAATAACTTTTTTTATGTATCAAAAAATATATTTCTGAGCTGAGTAGGGCTCAAATACTTTCAAATACTTGTGTTGTGCTTGATGTTTTTTTTTGCCTGGTATATCTGTCTTCATAATATATTTTGTTCATCATAGACACCACTAAGAAGTTGAGGTGTGAAGCGTGAATGTGCACTCGCAGCAGCAAGGCTACTCAGTGAACCTCACCAGGTACACACATACTTGTTTTTGAGAACAAGGCAACATAAATTACACAATTCCTTGAAAACAAGACCTCAGATTTACAGTTGAGAATTCCCTGTGTGAATGTTTTGTGTGTATTTGTAACTGTAGACATGTGGAGGTATCTTCAAGGTGCAGTATATTCAAGGCTATCCTGAACATAGACACAGTGACTATCAAAGACCTCCAGTCAGAGATCAAGTGTGTGGCCATAAACGACCAGAAATGCATATCTGCAGTGGTGACTCTCAAACTGGGAGGTTAGTGAAAACACACACCTACACAAACGTCACACAAACAAGTCATACAAACACACACATATCCACATATCAAAAACACACATAGACACACAAAATCACACATACAGTGGCTTGCGAAAGTATTCACCCCCTTGTCATTTTTTCCTATTTTGTTGCCTTACAACCTGGAATTAAAATGGATTTTGGGGGGGTTTGTATCATTTGATTTACACAATATGCCTACCACTTTGAAGATGACAATTTTTTTTTAAATGAAACAAACAAGAAATAAGACAAAAAAACAGAACACTTGAGCGTGCATAACTATTTACCCCCCCAAAGTCAATACTTTGTAGAGCCACCTTTTGCAACAATTACAGCTGCAAGTCTCTTGGGGTATGTCTCTATAAGCTTGGCACATCTAGCCACTGGGATTTTTGTCCATTCTTCAAGGTAAAACTGCTCCAGCTCCTTCAAGTTGGATGGGTTCCGCTGGTGTACAGCAATCTTTAAGCACTACATCTTATTTAGGGGCTTCATACCAAAGGGGGTGAATACATATGCACGCACCACTTTTCCGTTATTAATTTTTTAGAATTTTATCAAACAAGTAATTTTTTTCATTTCACTTCACCAATTTTGACTATTTTGTGTATGTCCATTACATGAAATCCAAATAAAAATCCATTTAAATTACAGGTTGTAATGCAACAAAATAGGAAAAACGCCAAGGGGGATGAATACTTTTGCAAGGCACTGTAGGCACACACACACTCTCTGTAAGTTTCTTGGTCTTATGTCCACCGTGTCTTTCTCCCACAGTGTCTATGTTGATGGTGGGTCTCCGTGTGGTGCTGCTGCTCTTCCTCTTGTTGGCTGCTATGGTCGTCAAGGTGTTTGCCATCGATCTGGCTCTCCTCTTCCGTGGAGTTTTCAAACACTATGGTCGATCTGAGGGTAAGAACCTCTAGTCCACAGACTGATGTTTACTAATGCTATTTCACTTACATACTGTATTTCATTGTACAGAAATGCTAATTCAGTCTACATTATCGGTATAGTATTTGGGTACCATATAAACATGTCCTTACATGTAATTCTTTGTCACACCACACAGGGGCACTCTAACACTGGTCTGGAAAGGAGACCATTTGTTAATGCAATATTCGCTCAGAAATTGTGCAATGGGTTTGATTGTCTCTCTCTCCCAAAAAAAGTATCTCGGGGGGCTGTGCATGTGGATGTTTGAGTGAGAAAGACACAGAGGAGAGCCAACCAGTAAAAGCACATTATCGTCACATTGTGCCGACAACATCAAAGAGCCATTCCAGACTTTGAAGTCAGGAGGACTTCGAGAGTTAGGTGTTAGCCAGACTAGTCTGCAGTAGCCTATGTCTAGTCTGCTCTTCTCCGCAGGTCCCGTCTGGGGTCAATCCCAATACTAGTGTAGAACAAATGGGCCATTTATAATAAAATAACTCATTATCAGTTCAAATAGAATTTAATCAAATCTCTAGAATCCACCTTTTTCATGGCGAGGTTTGACGGAAACATCCTCTTTGTCTGTTTTCAGAAGGGAAGGTCTATGATGCATGTGTTGTCTACCAAATGGATGGTGTAGACAAAGGCATGCAGGAGAAAGTGTGTCACTTTGTGAGCAGCGTTCTGCCCACTGTCCTGGAGCGGACGTGCTTTAGACTCTTCATCCATGGAAGAGATTACTTACCTAGAGAAGTTTGGTTATTTCAGACAGTGCCCTGACCTCTAAGAAGCTAATCTAATAGTAATAAACAGTACTAAAGTAAAACGTTAACTTTTCCTGCTCCTCTCTGTTCTCTTGTATACCCAGACCGCATGGAGCTGATGGAGGCCTGCATGCAGCTGAGCAGGAGGCTGATGGTCATTCTGACCCCCAGCTCAAGCTCAGGGTCGGGAGGTCAAGGGTCAGGGGGCCAGTGGGGCTACTTGTCCTCACTATTTTTTGCATGAGCTGCGCCTCAATCCACCACATCCGCCTGTGTCGGCCTTCCGCATCTGCGGTGGAAGGTGGCCAAGCTACAGCGGGGTTTGTCAGACCATGAGACGTCCCGAAAATCAGTCTTCTCACGAAAAAGTCTGTAGAGTCTGAACGGTTTAGCCTTATTAATATGACCACTCTATGGAAAGATGAGACTCACGAACACGATGATGTTCTCTGTTTTGCTCTATGACCCCCACAAGTGTCACGACTCGTCTGAAGGTAACCCATACAAATGAATGGAAGTTATATACAGTATATATATATATATACTGTATATATACTGTATATATATATATATATATATATATACTGTATATATTTTCTTTTTTTACGTTTTCTTCCAGCTTATCCTCATTATCTTCTGCTCTTGCAACTCATTATACAGTATGTTCCTTGTTGTGGAACACTGTATAGCGTATAGCTCAAAAACAATGTTAATGAAAAGGTTGATTTTGAAGTCAAACAAGGGAATCAGAGAGATACAGGCCTATCGGGGTACAATGAGACACGCTGAGAGAGAGAGAGAGAGAGAGAGATGGGAGGATTTTAAACCTAACCCTAACCTTAACCCTAACGTTAACCACACTGCTAACCTTATGCCTAACCCTAACCTTAAATTAAAGCAAATAGTTGTTTTCCTGAATTTTTACGATATAGTCTTTGTGGCTGTGGTAACAATTGGTGGTGAGAAACGACGGCTGAGAATCTGTCCGCGTTTGGTGAATTAGGATAGATACTGTAAACGACGATTATTCAATATAGCTAAGTTAACAGATGTGAACAAAGATAAACGAACCAGAGAGGAAATCCGGTAGAGGTGGTTGAGCAACACTAGGCTGTGACTGGAGCAGAGATGGATGGAAAGGTAGGGGGGTTAGAAGTTGAGGAGGATGGGATGGAGTGGAGTGGTGGAGTGGAAAAAGGTGGAGGTATAGTAAGAGTAAAGGTTAAGAAGAAGAGGAAGCCTGAGGAGCCTTTGCAGGTCTTGTCAGAGGAGAGTAGTGATGAGGGAGGTTCGGGTCGCGGTGTTGTACTGAGAGAAGTGGAGTACAAGGTGTTGGTGAAATTTAAGGATCAAGGTGGAGTCACGGCGGTGAGTCCGACCGCGTTGGCTAGGGATTTGGAGAGTAAAGCAGGAGAGGTTGTGTCTGCTAAAGTTCTTCGTGATGGAAGTTTGGTGGTGGCGTGTTTCAATGTTAAACAGTATGAGAAGGCGCTCAAACTCAAGCAGGTATGTAAACGTGTGGTTGATAGTAGCATGCCGGATCAAACTGGACGGAAGTGGGTGAAGGGAGTTATTACAGGAGTTCCAGAAATGGTTAACATGCAAGAAATAAAGGACCACTTGAAGGGAGGCTCTCTTATTGAGGCAAAGATGACACGAGATGGGAAGAAGGTGGATAGCTTGTCAGTGCTACTAAACTTTGAGGATCTGGTATTGCCAGTAAAAGTTAGGATTGGGTATATGAGTTACTATGTGCGAGCATATGTTGCGAAATCATTGTGTTGCTATTACTGTCAAAGGTTTGGGCATGTGGTGGCGGTGTGTAAAGGCAAACATGTATATGGGGAATGTGGAGATGGGGTCCAGTTAAAGTGCTGTAACTGTGTGCCCATAGTGTAGCGTATGGGGGTTGTTCAGTGATGAAAAGACAGCTGGAAGTGCAGCAGGTGAGGAGTGAGCGTAACATCTCGTATGCAGAAGCTGTGAAGGTAGTTCACGCAGAAACAATCGGGGCACCTAGAAGAGCGGGTATTCCAGGACAGATTGAGATGCAGGTTGGGTGTGATGGAGGGAGCAGAATGGGGGAGAACACAATAATGGGAGGAGACATGAGGAAGGTTGTTATATTTGTGATAGCAGCAATCAATTGCACAGAAAAATTACACAATGGAGGACTAAGAAGATAAAGATCGTAGTGGAGCAGGCAGTGAGGTATCTTGGATCACAGGACTGACATGGGAAAATGTACAGGATGACCTCAATAAGATTGAGAATCAGTCCAGCCAGGAATCATGTATTGGTTAATTTGCATTATGGTGTTAATCCTTCAATGGAATGCCAGAGGTTTGATGGGTAATGGGCAAGAGTTTCTTGACGAGTTACCAGCCAAACCTGATGTGATATGTCTCGAGGAGACATGGCTAAAACCTACTCTAGAATTTATATTACAAGGTTATGTTCCAGTCCGTAGAGATAGGGTGGCAGGAGGAAGAGGAGAATGTGCTACCTTTATAAAGCAGGGGATCCCATATACAGTTGAAGTCGGAAGTTTACATACACCTTAGCCAAATACATTTAAACTCAGTTTTTCACAATTCCTGACATTTAATCCAGTAAATATTCCCTGTTTTAGGTCAGTTAGGATCACCACTTTATTTTAAGAATGTGAAATGTCAGAATAATAGTAGAGAGAATTTATTTCAGCTTTTATTTCTTTCATCACATTCCCAGTGGGTCAAAAGTTTACATACACTCAATGAGTATTTGGTAGCATTGCCTTTAAATTGTTTAACTTGGGTCAAACGTTTCGGGTAGCCTTCCAGGAGCTTCCCACTATAAGTTGGGTGAAATTTGGCCCATTCCTCCTGACAGAGCTGGTGTTTGTAGGCCTCCTTGATCGCACACGCTTTTTCAGTTCTGCCCACAAATGTTCTATAGGATTGAGGTCAGGGCTTTGTGATGGCCACTCCAATACCTTGACTTTGTTGTCCTTAAGCCATTTTGCCACAACTTTGAAAGTATGCTTGGGGTCATTGTCAATTTGGGCCCCATGTAGCTCAGTTGGTAGAGCATGGCGCTTGCAACGCCAGGGTTGTGGGTTCATTTCCCACGGGGGGTCAGTATGAAAAAAGTATGAAAATGTATGCACTCACTAACTGTAAGTCGCTCTGGATAAGAGCGTCTGCTAAATGACTAAAATATTTGTAAGACCCAAGCTTTAACTTTCTGACTGATGTCTTGAGATGTTGCTTCAATATATCCACATAATTTTCCTTCCTCATGATGCCATCTATTTTGTGAAGTACACCAGTCCCTCCTGCAGCAAAGCAACCCACAGCATGATGCTGCCACCCCCGTGCTTCACGGTTGGGATGGTGTTCTTTGGCTTGCAAGCCTGCCCCTTTTTCCTCCAAACATAACGATGGTCATTATGGCCAAACAGTTCTATTTTTGTTTCATCAGACCAGAGGACCAGACTTGTGGAGGTCTACAAATTTTTTTCTGAGGTCTTGGCTGATTTCTTTTGATTTTCCCATGATGTCAAGCAAAGAGGCACTGAGTTTGAAGGTAGGACTTGAAAGCCATCCACAGGTACACCTCCAATTGACTCCAATGATGTCAATTAGCCTATCAGAAGCTTCTAAAGCCATGAATTTTCCAAGCTGTTTAAAGGCACAGTCAACTTAGTGTATGTAAACTTCTGACCCACTGGAATTGTGATACAGTGCATTATTAGTGAAATAATCTGTCTGTAATCAATTGTTGGAAAAATTACTTGTGTCATGCACAAAGTAGATGTCCTAACCAACTTGCCAAAACTATGAGTGGTTGAAAAACGAGTTTTAATGACTCCAACCTAAGTGTATGTAAACTTCCGACTTCAACTGTAGGTGTGTGGGAGAGGGAGTGGAACAGGAGTATGTAGTGGTAGAGGTGTGGTTGGGAGGGGGAATATGGTAATAGTGGACTTTTACAACCCATGTAAGAGACTGGAGTTGCTGGCACTTGGGAATGTAGAAGGTCAAGATAGGAGACGGGTAATGTGGTGTGGGGATTTTGATGCTCATAGTATGCTCTGGGGAGGGTTACGGACTGATGTAAACGGACAAGTGTTGGAGGAACTACTGGATGAGAAAGGGCTTGTAAGTCTTAGTGACGGCCAGGGAACCAGGATTGACCCAGTAACTGGAAATTAATCTGCTCTGGATCTTACTTTGATCTCAAGTTCAATGGCAGGCAGATGTAGTTGGGAGGTTTGGGAGGAATCTACAGTGGGTAGTGATCACTATCCTATCATGTGTACTGTAGGATTGAGGGAGGAAGAATTAGTAGGAAATGAATTGAGCAGATGGATATTTGGGAAAGCGGAGTGGGGTCAGTTTCAGGAGTTGAGTGAACAGGAGCTGTCTCAGGTAGATCTTAATTCAGATATAGAAACAGTAAATGATGGAATAAGAGGAGCAATAGCAGGGGCCACAAGGCATGTGATTCCTATGGGTACAGGGGGGAGAAAGAGTAACGCAGTCCCCTGGTGGAGTGAATAGTGTAGAGAAGCAGTGAAGAGTAGGAACAGGGCTTTCAGAATGTTGAAAAGGTCCCATAATTACCAGCACCTGATTCAGTATAAACAAGCACAAGCAGTAGTAATGAGGATCATTAGGACAGCTAAGAGGGAGTATTGGCGCCGGTTCTGTGGAAACATAGGCAGGACCACTCCTGTGGGAGAGGTATGGGGGATGATTAAGAGGATGAGTGGGGTCAGAAGAGATTGGGATCTCCCTGTGCTGAAAAGTGGGGAGATTGTTGCAGTGAGAGATATGGAGAAGGCAGAGATGTTAGCCCAGGCATTTGTGAAGGTGCACAGCTCAAATAATCTGACAGAAGAAGGGCAGCGTGGGAGAGAGAGGGTCAGAGGAGAACATCCGGGGGTCCTGGATCAGAGAGAGATAGTGGGGGATACATTGAATAGCCCTTTTACGTTGGCTGAGATGAAGAGAGTGTCGTATCGAGTGAGTG